GTGTTAGAGAAAGAGAGAGAGAGAGAGAGAGAGAGAGAGAGAGAGAAAGAGAGAGAGAAAGAGATAGAGAATAAGAGAGGGAGGGTGTATATCATATATTATGTGTGTGTAGGCCGTTCTTGAGTGTGTATGTGTGAGTGTGTTTGTGTGTGTATGTGGGTGTGTTTGTGTGTGTATGTGTGTGTTTGTGCGTGTGCATGTGTGTACACGCCTGTCACTTCGATTCATAGGAGTGGAAATAAAATTGTAAACACGTTGTTACCCAAGATTTAAAGGTGTGCTATAATAATAATTGAATACAGATAATGACGAAATGGGTGCTCGACAAAACATAGAGTTGTATGATTTATTAACTTTGAAATCTATAACAATGATGGTGTCCTTGAGTTACCTTTTTCTTCGTCTTGATCAGAGAAATCGCTTTTCCCGAAAAAGTTAAAAAAGAGACCATTGCCAAAGCCATTCCCTCTTCCATATCTGCTACTGTAACCGGTTCTAAATCCGACGCTGGAACCTGCTCCGTGTCCCTTCCCGTACCCGAAACCATATCCACCAGTGTTTCCGACTCCATTATATCCGCTTCCGTACCCGGTTTGAAAACCAGGCACAGATCCTGCTGAGAACCGGTTCCCGGTTCCACCATTGCCAGCGCTGTAGCCAGAACCGAAGTTATTGCCTCCATTATCCACACGTCCAGAAGAGAGAGAATTGTCTGAATAGAAAAAAACAAAACAAATAAAAACAAACAAGCATGTTAGAAATCTTATTTAGAGAAATGTTCGAAATGACTGGCGTTTTTCGACACCAACAACACTGTTAGATTACATACTGGCAGGCCCTCCGAATTTAACGTCTATCTCCATAGGATCAAGCCAAAATGGGAAGATTCGTGTAAAGTACTTTTCCCAAATACAGATAGTCAGACCGAGCTCAGCCTCGGATCCTTGAACCAGCAATCTTAAGATTATGAGTCCGGTCGCACGTCCACAAGGCTACCGACTCCATCATGCATAGTTATAAAGAATACATAATAGAAAAGCGAACACTTCCACATGTATAGAACAGAAGATGACGTAGAACAATTACAAGGCAACATTCTCGAAATCTTGAATAATTTGTGACATTCCCCTACGCATTGTCTATCTTAAACCAACTAAGGATGCTCAACAGCGGCTACAAACAATGGTTCGTTTAAAAGTCGTCTAGATTGCTCGGATATTATGCATTATGTTACGGTGTTGCAGTTTTGAATATATTATTATTATTGCACTTTTCACGGTAAACCACATTGTTCATGGGTATGGATAGAATCGACATTGTACTGTTCACACTACATACCTGAAGGAGAGGGAGACTCTCCGTAGCGAGGATAAGAATTAAACTGTGGAATAAGAAGTACATGAGATTACATACACCTTAAATATATAAATGAAGTGCTGTCTGTGAGTGTTTATCGATCTCCTCTAAGTCTAAGAACGCGAACTCTTGTGATGACACTATAAATAAAAGAAAACTGAATTCTTGGGGTTTGGTTACATGCTTTTGATAATCAAAGGACTGCAAATCATTTGGCTGAAACAACAATACTGCTTACTAATGACAATCAATAAATTGTATGACCCTTTTATTGGGGTTTATGGTTAACTCTAAATTGGGACATATGCTTTGTTGAACCAGGTAAAAATCTGAGTTCAGTTGAGTTGATGTTAAGATTTGGAGACAATCGTAGGTAAGAATAGTGCTCTGGGGAAAGATTTTGAGTTTGTTTCTATTTTTAACTAACGCTGAAAAGAGTTAGTTTAGAAGTTAGTGTGATGCAGAAACATTATGTTTAGAAATGAGTGCAGTAGTGATGATAATGATGACGAAGCAAGATTAGAGGCTGTTATACCTGAGCCAACGAAACTTTTACACCTATGTCTCCGAGAAAACTCAGGAGCAGAACGCAAAACCGCCACGTCTCGACCGTCATTGTAGGAGTGTCTTCAGATTACCTACTGACCCCTCACAGGTAGTGAAACTTATTTATTTATTTATAAGAGATAAGAGTGATTAACGAAACCACTTAACCAATCGTTTTTAACGATTTTGATAGCGTCAGGCTTTGGTAGAATATTTCGTGATTTACACCCGGCGGCTATGAGGTGAAACCGCTTCATGTTGTTCGATGTACTCGAGAAGAGCCGTGAAAAGAGGATGGTTTTTATATATAGATTATTTGAAAACCTGAGTGGTAGGAAAAGAAATTCGTTTTGAACGGTATGTTTAGTTTAACTGTTCGTTTGAAAAGGCTACTGAAGAAGAGAGGTTTATCAAAGCAACCTGTGATGATGTTGGTGCAAGAAACTTTTGCTAATCACCGTTCTTGATTAAGTTAGATCCGTGCAACAAATATTGAGTAGTTCTTGAGAAGTCGACGTAAAGACGTTTCAATCTTCATACTTTACAAAAACTCAGTATTCAACTATATGAGCTTTATAGTGTTATTTATAGTGAGTGGTTTACCTCCTTTTCAGCCCAAGACAATAATCAAAACAATAGATAATAGACAGCCACTCCTCGATTTTACGCAAACAAATACAAAACACAGAATAATTTCCCGGAAACGTAATTTTTTCGTTTGTTTGAGGTCTTAGGTATAATAATATGGTCCACTAGACAGGGTAAATTTTGTCCTTTCTAGATTGAAATACTCTTAGTCCATTAAGTTCTTCTTTGGTCTATGTTACAAATGTAATAGATCTACTGAAAAGCTAACCCAACAGTACTGTTTGAATAGGTATAGCTCAATATACATATTATTACTAAATCTTAGTCTAAACAGACAAAAAGATAGGTGATGGACAGACAAATGTCGCATAAAATAGAGGACGTAAACAACGTAATCAGGGATTTAGAATGAAAGAATGCATGCCCTACCAAGCTTAGAGAAAATTGAGCTTATTTTCCGAAATCAACATGTGTGCTTGAATCAAAACAACAAGCCCTTGTGTCCACTGCAGTAACGTATTGGCATCATTATTATCACTGCAAAAATATTCATTTCCTTTTTTTTATCTTAACAAAAAGTGTTGTCCTAGGATTTCTGCTTGAAGTTGTCCCCATGTATTTGATTCATTATTCTTTTTTCTAAGCTGCCCCCATTACCGTAACACATCGATAAAATAAAAAGACATATCATATTTTGCAAGATAAATAGAATGTGTCAGCCAAAATAATATGTTTTTACGTGAAACAAAAGAAGGCGAAAAGACATGAACAACAACAATAACAAAAATAATAAGCGCCACATTCTTCTGCCCTTTACCAAACCCTCTGAGCTAGGGGCTGACTACAAATAAGCTTCATTTGCCCTTAAATTGATTAGTGGAGAAAGGTAATCCCATCCAGTTTGCTGAAGAAGCTTTACACCACCTTATTCCATTAAAAAAGCCAATCGGGAAACAAAAGCAATTCCCTAAAAAATTTGTCTTTGTTTTTCCCACTTTTCAACGCTGGGAGTAGTTTTCATGTGTTCCCCGTCCCCCCACCTAAAAAAAAATTTTTTTTTTAATAAAATAAGATAAAACAGAAATGTGTCTCCCCACCACCACTCAATGTTGTCGCGACGGCTGGTGGAAAAGACTAATTTTATTTTTTTCCTTTAATTTTTTCTCTCTCCCTCT